AAAAATCCCCTTTAAAGTGCAGGTTTAGATCCCTGGCCCGCCAGCCGTCTATAAGTAAGCAAAACGTTCCAATTTTACGCGCACTGGACCCTAGGGTTGACAAGAGCGAGCAAATTCGTTTCAGAGAAAGACGAAGAACTCACGGGTTCGTTAGTAATTTGCACTCGTTCCAAACAATTGCAGACAAGTTTATGAAAAGCGGACCAATTAAGGTATGCAGCTTGGGGAGGAAGGGGGGGGGGGATGGTTGTGTCATCATTATCCGAAGCTGATTAATTATCATCATTAGGCACCTGGAGAAAGTGCTTTTATAGCACAGAGAGATGTATGCAATGGCCATCTCATATTCTCTGATTAGTCGGTTTCAGATAGGGCTGTCCGGGACGTTTGTTTGTACGGCAACAGTTAGCTCTTGGAAGTTCTTCTACCGGATACTGTGTCATTTTCTCGACGTATCCAAACTATTGCTTTTGCTACAAACACAAAATGGAATAAACGCATTAGAGCACGTTTGGAAATAAAGATGTTTTATGCTTCTACTTGCTGTATGATTAATGTTGTCTTTTAACCTCCTCTAAAGCTAGCCAATCTGAGAACAAAAAGTAAAAGCAAAATTTTTACAATTGGGAATAAACAGTTTTATGAATGTCTTCTCTTTTAAGGTTTTGGAAGAGGTCAAGTCCATACGAGAGATCTTGGAAAGAGTGAAAGAAAAGAAAGCCCGTGCCGAAGAGAAAGACAAGCTGGCCCGAGAGTGGAGAATAGTTGCCATGGTTTTTGACAGGATAATCTTTGCAATTTATGTCGTAATTAATTTCACTGGACTTCTCGTCATTTTTATCTGGCAAATTAATAGAGAAGAGCAGATGGTCAAGGGATTTGAAAATTCAACATAGAGCAAAGACATTGATTTAACAATAATATGCTGTTCTTTGTTTATTCTAAAAGAAAAGACATTGGAAATATAAGGTCTGGATCAAGCATGAACAGACTATATAATAATATATGGTTTGGATGAAGTTTCTGTACCCCATCATATTATGCAATTAGTTTGTCAGAATCAAAGGATCCTTCTCGATGACAAAAATTAACACGAAAGAAACTTGGTTTTTACGTCATTGGTAGCATGTCACCTGAGTAGGTGTTGTGGGTTTTTACTGCGCTTTTGTTTAATGGATACTCCAGCACAACAAAATTATATAAATCCCAAAATCTACAATCGTTCAGCAGCCGCCAGTCTGTATTCAAATAATAATTTTTATTATTATAATTATAATAAATTACACTTTTTATTTGTCCCGGAAGGGCATTTTGGTTTACAATGGCAAATATACAATAACATACATAGATGTTTATACATAAAATGGTGTCTTATTTTTACTGCATTTCCACTCATGTCTCCTGAGGCCATGCAAAATCGTATAGACCACCATACTGGAAAATGTACTTTGAAGTGTCACAAACTAATTAATTACTGGAAAGGTAATGTTGGGCTTACTTGAGATAACAGCATGAATAAATCGTTTCGACTATTTCTATATTATTTGTAGCGATGTTTTTGCTCACTATGAAAACAGTCCAGTATTTTTTGTGGGTTGAAATGTTACTATTTTATTACCAAAAGATTGGTCACGTATTACATTACCACATCGCACTGTCAACTGGAAAGTTATAAGAAAATGATAAAGAAAGCTATCTCCTCGTAAAACATAGAAGATTCTCTTCTTGTTGACAGTATACACCTATTTAACAACTTCAAGGGAAAGTTGTTGTAAGAGAACCTATGCACTACTGGCTGCCCGAACGGTCAGGGCAACAGTTCTTATTCAATAGGCTTAGTATTATCTTGACATGTCTTCAGACAAGTTTTGAGTGAACATATAAAGCTATCCCAAACTAACTGCAATGTGAACTAAAGGTTGGGTAATTACGAAAAGATATCGGGACGTGAACAACGTGTTTTACACAATTATGTTACTTAAATGTAACAATAGCATATTTTATGCTCAGTTTTACTAGTGTTGTGCTTAGCAGTAAATTATGGCGGCCTGCACTTATGTGTACGAATATATGTATATTCAAATACTGCTTTTTCAGATGGAATAAACAATTTGTAAATACGTGTACACTGAGGAAGTATTAACAAATCGGCGTAAATACTTCAGTAGATAACTAATTCTAACGTGAGGGTAGATAGTATAGCATTGGGTATATTTCTTGCATGTTTCTTGCATCTTTGCTTTCTGATTCCTTTGTTTGTTGTGTAGTTTACTCCCTTGAATTTGAGATAACGTTGTCTTCACAAAATCTCTGAAAAGAGATAATTTTTAAGAGTAGTGGGTTCGTGTTTTTCTCTGTCGACGGGAAAAAGCTAGTACTAGTATTCACTTTTTTTCTATTCAAAAATTGAAACCAAAAAAATGCATGGTCACCTAAATTATACCGAAACATTTTGGACTAGGTGTTTGATCTAGATCTAGCTCTAGTGTTTTTCAATACACCTACTTCGTGACCGCTGAGAATCGTTATGTCTAACTCTCCAGGGTAACAGTCAGAATTGCTATTATCTGAGGGAAGAAAACAGTTTGGACAATGTTGTTGTTGCTGTTGTTGTTGTTGTTGTTGTTGTTGTGAAATTTGTAATGAGTGCATAGGCATTTCAATTAGGAAATTTTGGTTTCCTCTAATGTGGTTAGGGGAAAGAGTATTGAGGTTATATAGGTCAGCTGGGTTGTTTTGCTTGAGTTTTTGTGACAGTCATCCTTGACTGGGATGCTTCTGATTTGGTTTGGTTGTTTTGACACAGTTCGGATAACTACTGTTTTAACGCTTATTCTGAGTATGCCGTTCTTTAATGCTCTCTCTGCACAATGTTTATCTCTGTATGATACCTCTCTCTTGAGAATCTTGGAAGGGTTTTATAATTTCGTTTTCCTTCATTTGTTCGTTTGTGTCGACATTTTAGAGTTCACGGTGTTTATGAATATACTTGTCGTCTGACTGTTCAGGTGAACACAATCATGCGAATAGCTACAAACAGCTAACGTCAAAAGGTTGTATTTAGTTTCGTGTTGAGGATATACGGGAAAAGGAAAAGGGGAGGAGGGGTTTTGATACTACATTGTTTAATGCGTTGATTTTGAGGAAACCAGGACCAAAGTCTGTGGTGTAGGGGTTAGGCTTTAAGCCGTCACACGCAGAAGACCAGAGTTTGATTCTCATGTGGGGAGAATTTTTATCGAGTATATCCGGCCTTTTGCTTATCCCTCTCAGCCTGGGCTGGCCCTGATAGTCTGTGATAGCTTGCCTCAAGAATTTTCAAAAGTATGGGGGCGTAAAACACCTGCCTGTAAAAAAAAAGAAACTGGGACATGGAAATTAGCAAATCAATCATAATTTAATGTGTCCTCTCGGACATGTATGTACCAGTTTAGAAATCAAGTTGGGATTAAAGCCAGCAATCATTAATTATTTACTAGGTGCATGTGCATCTAATTCCCAAAACTCGTTATCTACTTCTCAATCTAATTATTGAGAAGTCGGAGTGTGACTTACTGAAAAGTTTTCGTCTCGCTGCCCTTGAACAATGAGAAGTAAAATCTTAGCTGTAACTTTCACTTTCACAGAAACAATAGTTTGAGTTCTGACACTACCAAGAATATTCTTGGTTTTGCTATTTCTGTCTTTGTTCTTTTTAGTTGTGGTTGTGAAAGTCATGATGGTGTTTCTATTCTTGTCTATGATTTTCTTGTAATTGTTGTTTTCTCCTAGATTACAATGTATACATTAGAAATGGGAAGAGGTAAGGCATTATTGCATTAGTTGTTGACCTTTACGAACATTAGAAAGTTCAAGACCCTTTGAACAGAACCCTTCTCAGCCTGGTATCCTGTGGGGATATAAAGTGTCCTGCATAGGAAATAACTTTTCTAGTCAACATCGAAGATATGATGATTTAAAATTTGTAAATAATCGTTTAAAAATCGGATGCCCAATATTTTGTTTAGATTCTGAACTTAGAAATATGTGTTGGGAAGAGAAAAAGAGTGACAACAGCCATGTTAAAAGAACGACTATGTGTGGGAGAAATGCATTTGCTAGAAGTATCTTACTGTTGACTCACTCTGTCGATTTCACTGAGTCTATGCATGGCTGTACATATATGTTCTATTTGCTTATCTGTTTCTGTTTGCTTGTTTGTCTGTGTGAACACGAACATATTTGCAATAATCCTGTTAAAAATAGATTTTTTTAATGTTACATCGTATTAATTGTTCTGAGATGTCTACTTGGAGAAGTCCTCTTCGGGTTACTTCTAGGAGATATGTTTGTATTTAAAGACATAATTTTTACAAGATGTGACCTGTTGGGCCACACTGTTTTCTAATGTTTCAACATTAAGTTCTTCCTTTTTTTTACTAAGTCTGTATAGTCCATTAAACATATCGCAAAATTCTTACCAGAAAGGTAGAAATCTACATTTTAAGAAAGATTGCTAAAAAAGAAAACTAGTATTAGTAGGAAAATGGACTGCAAAGATTGCACTCTTCATTTTACTTACTGGTCACCCCTCCCCCCGACTGTCTGTCTGCATGTCTGTCTATCTGCCTGTCCCTCTCTCTCTCTCGCTCTCTCCCTCTCCCTCTCTCTCTCTCTCTCTCTCTCTCTCTCTCTCTCT